GTTCCAGAATACATTCCTAGACTAAACCCATATGGTTGGAAGAAGTAAAGTCAGCAAATGAACAAGGTTATTTAAATGACATCATAACCACATCATATTTACTGTAGCAGATATTCATTATCTGTCCACTCTTTGGAGTCCACGTCACTTCTTCTCACCCTGTCAACAGACAACATGAAAACACATTTGTTGTATTTAATTAGGGGCCAAGTGACAGTTTCTTGTCTGGCTGTAAATTTTTTAAATCTCTAACCAGTCGAACCATACAAACACCTCTCTCCAGGATTTAGCGCTTTTGTGATCACCGAAATTAACACAAAATCACGCGAACTCCAATTTTTAGAGAAGCATGGAATTTTTCTAAATTGTCACAGATTTTCCACAGATTTGGGCCAAGGCACGGCATGGGACGTCATCACAACACACATTCAGCGAAAGTCCTCTTCGTCGAACATGAGTACATGAGTATATAACACTTCAATAGAAGGGTGATAAAGAAATTGGACAGGGTTTTTAATGTTTAAAATTTGTTTTAAAAAATGATAAATTCATCAGCTCTTTCCAAAAGCTTTAATCTGCTGTGTTATGTCTTGCAAGTTGAAGCTTAAAAACATGGGCTTCATGTGCGTTTGCCAAAGGTACAGCTAAGCCTCCCAGGATGATAGTTATGGAATTAAGCTCTTTTTACAAAACAAAATATTCATTACATCAGGCCTTAAACTTTTCCACACTACTGGCGGCTCATTAAGTGCCGTACCTTTACCTACTCTGTAATCTTGGAATCACCACAGATCAGTTTATTTTGAGTGTAGTCATTTAAGCCTTGCTGAAATGCCTCAGGGAAAGCAGCGCTATGAGGCAACCTTCAACGTGAACTACAGTCAGCACAGACGTGGGGGGAGACAGAAGGGAAGCGTGATGTCAGAAAGAGTCTCTGAGAATAGAACAAGGGTGTCACAGAATATCCAACATTTCACAAGGCCCTGAGAGAGGCTTATCTCCAAAATAGAGACATCAGTACCAGCACTGAGCTCCTCAACCCAAAGTCATCAGCACATGTGAACTAACAGCATTGCTACAGCACGATCAACAGACCGAGATACGCCAAAGTGTGATCAGTTATCTAATGTCAGAACCCACACAGGATAAAGTCAAGTCACTGGGATATTTTAAGGGAACCTGAGATTATGAAATAGCGGAAACACTGTAAATAAATTTAGTGTCGAGACCTAGCTCTGGTTGCTCAGCGTACAGGTATAGGCCACATAATTAGCCTTACTTCCTAAACACAGGCATTTACACACAATGCTCCTCTCAAGTGTTCAATGTTTAACATTTTTGCTTTTATGTGTAAGCAAGTTGACAATGTGGCTGCACATGTTACACAGTTACTTCCCCCAACAACACCATGGTCTCCCTTCAAGCATATAATGGCTTTGTGCTTTAGACACACACACAAACACACAGTGTGTTTATAAATTACACACCTAAATTACATTAGCATACTATTTGCATATCAAATGCAATATTTCTTTCCCAATGGCATGACCTCCTCAGTCAAGGATTCCTTCTTTATCTTGGAAGAACAATTTTTTTTTCTGTTGAGAATTTAAGAGAAACCCAATAAAGTCTTGGCCTAATCCAATCCGTGCAATCTGGGCTCGTGAGCTTGAGGTAGTAATAAGGTTCATGAATTACCATGATTCGTTTATATTTGCCATTCTTGTAGATGTAACCAAGGTTTCATGTCATCCTACACCACCCTCCTACTGCTGTTCACACGATGATGTTCACACTATGAGATTTTAATTGGAATTGTCAAGCAACGCGCCAGATAACTACATATACTAGGCACCACATTGAACAAACATAAAAAAAAAAAAAAAAAAAAAAAAAAAAAAAAAAAAAAAAAAAAAAAAAAAAAAAAAAAAAAAAAAATCTAAATAAAAAAAAAGTTTTATTATTCTATTTTTAGAATAATATATATATATTTTTTAGACTTCTATAAAAAAAAAGTAGAGAAAGAAAGAAAATTTACAATGTAAAATGTAAAAAATAATAAGAATAAAACTCAGTGTACCAGTTGTGGAAGAATGGAAAAGAGCAACCATCCTGCAGCTGAAAGTAACACATGCTGTTTTGTTCACTACTAGTGTCATGGAAGCAAATGCAAAAAAAAAGGTAAATGTTATTAATGTTCCTGTATAAGCGGTTTTTTTTTTAACTGAAAGGACTGCTTTGACTCTTAAATACAGGCGTTTGTGAGCCTGAGAGAACGCTTGAACAGAGGAAGTTGTTGTGGCCTAAAGGCCAATGTCATTATTAGTAGGGAAGAGCAGAGATGAGCTTCTCCTCTACCCTGTGTGCTTCACTATACTTCTGCATTGTGTTTCAAATTAGGCCATGTGTGTAGCTCTGTGTAGCGCTGAATATTTGCGGTGTCGCTGGGCGTTCACTCCACACACACACCGTTTTAAAACAAACTTGCTACTGAAAATACTCAAAAACCAGACACCGCCTTAAGGCAAACTTTCTGTAATTATCAATAACTAGCTTCATCATCTAGCTACTTGGCATGTCAAAAAAAAGCACTGTAGGCGTAATGCCATGCGTCCATATTCCTTATAATTGCATGTGTGAATATATATATATATATAACAACAACATTACACTTAAAAACCTCAAAATAAAACAATTCAACGCTAGTTTACTTATTAGCCATTCAACAGTGTAGCAGAATAGCCAAACAGGGCAAATTCATTATCTCACATGTGATATAGAGGGGAAATTAAAAATCATTAAAAAAAAATCAGCTCACCCGTCAAGACGCTGCAGAGGTTTTAAATAAATCTACTGTTTATTTATTTATTTGTTTGTTTGTTTGACTTATATTATAAACGCATACAAAACACTGCAGAGTTATAGTTATCAACTTTTCTTGAAATCCACCAGCTATGAAAAGTTCGGTTCAGCTCCTGCAGGGAGTGTACCATTATGGGAAACATTATTTAGGTGGAAATGTGGACCGTTACAGTGAAGCGTGTTTACTGCCTAACCCAGAATGAGTTTCTTTCACCACAATGAGACATTTCTATGTCAATCATTACAATATATTAGTGAGTATAGAAAAAAATTGCTCAACTTTAAGAGCCCCGAAATTTTGGACACCCCCATTAAAGACATAGTATGACCCGAATCCCTTCATTGGTTGTTTTGTAGTTCGGAAGACGCAGCCGAGTTTCCAAGGTAACAAGAAACAGCTGCGGTGGGAACCCGATACCGCTCTTTGGATGACGTCATGTCCATGAGGCCTACCTCAACTGACAGCCTGAACACTGCACCCTATTCACTATTGCCTATATAGTGCCAGGTTGCAACCATGACTGAAAGTACAGTAGATATCCAGTGAGCTCATAAAGTCCAAATTGTATTCTTTATCATTACACATAATGCATTTATAGGGGGACACACCAGGGATACAGAATTTCGTTACAGTTTTTGGTGCTTCAAATATCAGTTATAACAATCTTTAGGTATTTATTGACAAATTTCATGTACAACATTTGCCATGTGGGGGAAAAATAAGGCAAAATAGAGCTGCCATGGGGAATTTCCTCTTTATCCGATAATAAGTTAGAAGAGTAAATCCTGCTTGTAGGTGCATGTGTCTATAGAAAACAGCATGACTCTCTAGAGCTACAATTCCCATTGTGTATTGGAGACGAGCCAGCGTTGTGAGTAGTGTTATGGGGGATGGGAAGATGGTGGGTCAATCCACAGCCTCTGGTTTTTATCTTTACTAAAGTGGCACCTATTATGCAAAATAGTGCTCTCATTTTTGGGCTTCAAAGTGTTAATTACATTAATTAATCACGCTTCTCTGTGGATAGACATGATGGTGTTGAAGAGCCCTTGCCACTCCAGTCCAAAATCCTGTAATCTCAGCCAGGCAAATGTTCTTTTCACATTCATCATTGGATTACACTGAATATTTGTTTAGGAAGTCTAATGTCAGTCTGAGATTGGAATTAAAATGTAAGAGCAGTTAGAGGACAGTGACATGTCTAGACCAAACTCGTAGCAGCTTGCCAGCAGCTCATTCTTTAAATTTTCATTACGACTCCACTCTCTGGGTTTAGGACAATGGGAGCTCCAGTGTCCTGAGCCCAAACTTAAACATGAGAGGTGGAAACAGAGAACTCTGGGAAACAAAGCAATTCAGTCCTTGAGGGAAAGAACCTCAACTGTTGATTGAATCAAATTACTAGTACCTGTTGTTTATTTTCAGGTCTGCTATTATTGTGGGGTGTTTGTTTTCTCTCTCTCCATGGAACAGAAAAGTATGCAGTTTTCCATGTTGCCAGAGGCAAGAGAGACATGACAGATTTATGAATTTTTGAATAACAAAATAAAAGCATTGACAATGACAACAATTACAAAAGCTGTTATAGCTGGAATATTTTAGTGTGAATGGGTCACAATAACATTCTCATTCATCTCTATAAAGGACTTTATCTCTGGTGCTTGTTTACTATCTTTTTGTGCATAACGAGTTCCACAAATCTAAGGCAAAATGCAAAAACTTTACATACCACATGACCAGTTTGCGACAGTATGGAAAATGCTAATAAAAACAAAGAGGAGTGATTGGTAAATGTACTTTCACTTGTATTTAAACAAAAAACTTATAAGACAAGGTGTTTTATGTTTTACTTAATAAACTGCATATATTTTTGAAGGTAAGCATCCATCCATTAATTTTCTATACAGCTTATCCTACAGGGTCTCGGGGAACCTGGAGCCTATCCCAGGGGACTCAGGGCACAAGGTGGGGTATGCCCTGGATGGGGTCCCAATCCATCACAGAGCAGATTCACATATACATGCACAAACTACAGACACTTTGTACATGCCACTCAGCCTACCATGCATGTCTTTGGACTGGGGGAGGAAACCGGAGCACCGCAGCACAGGGAGAACATGCAAACTCGGTGCACACAGAGCAGTGATGGGAATTGAACCCCCAACCCTGGAGGTGTGAGGCAAACACGCTAACCACTAAGCTAAAATGCACCCTGAAGGTAAACATTTATTTTGAAATTGATGCATGCAACACGTTCCAAAATAATTGGGACAGGGGCAATTTAGGACTAATAGTGATGTGACAAGTTGAAATAAGAAGATGATGTGAAACAGGTGAGGCAATCGTCTAATCATAGTATATAAGGAGCCTCCAAATAAGGCCTTCAAGAGCAAGGATGAGTGGTGGCTCGCCAATCTGCCAACAGATGCGTCAGTGAATAATCCAACACTTTGAGAACAACATTCCCCAAAGAACAACATTCCCCAGTCTCATCTGAGATGGACAGCAGCACATTGGAATCATGTTTTGTGGTCCGACGTTTTTGGTCAAAACAGCTGTTGTGTTCTCCAAGCCAAAGAGGAAAAGGCCCATCCAAGCTGTTATCAGCATCAGGTCCAAAATCCACATTACTTTAGTTTGCACTTTACTTGATAAATTGTTTGCTTTTGCATCCGCCTTTGCCTCCAATTCTTGACAAAAGTCTTGATATAAATATTGGTTTTTGCTACTTAATATGCCACATGCCATAAACTGCCTTCTTCAAATTAAATCTGAAGCATTAGAGTGTCATGGCAAAACATTAACTTCTAATCTAACAAACCTCACATTTTTCCCCCTCTTTAGAATGCAAGAGTCTATTTCACTGTACTAACACCAGCAACATCACCATGTTATCCTCCCCTTTTCCAAATAAGCTCATTCTCTGTAAAAAGGAAAGCTACTACCAAGGAAAAATCTATTGTGCAATCTATTCTACATCCTCTGACTGAATTCACACTAATGCCGGACACCATTAAAGAGAAGGAAGTCGCTAGAGCTCCCCATACATGTAATTATTCTTTCCTCTGGTGTTTTGTGTATATACTGGGGGGTGGGGATGGCGCGCGGGGGGGGTGGGGGGGGTTGTTATTATACATTTATCACTTAGTGCTTTCATGAGGTATACATTTTATAATTTTTCATCTACTACATTCACACAGTACACTGAAGTCCATGCTTCTCTATACTCTTCCAACCAGTTTTTATTGCATAAAAATATTTCATTTCAATATCTTTTCCAAGTGCCTTTTCAATAGTGTTGTGAAGCTGTCTTTAAATTGTGGCATGATCACTCATGTACACGCTTAAACATTTTGACATGTTTACAGGCTCCCATTGCTTGTTTCATGTTTATGATTGGTAAATAGGAACAAATCCACCACTGTACTTTAATCTTACTAATTGTTCTACTGTTAAAAAAAATCTATTTTTAATCACTTTTTCCTTCCCTTGTATTGAGAAGGCACAAAGGCCAACCCAGGAAATTAATACTCAGTCCCCCCTAGCTCTTTCTCTCAGACACACAAGCACACATATGCACATATGTACACAACCTCTGTGATCTATTCATAGCATCCTGACTCACTCCATGAAGTTTAATATAAGTCACATGTTTATTGTTTTTATTTTGATTTGCTTTTGTTTTCTTGAAATTGTATCATTAGTAACTTCCGTATTACTACAGTGACTCCTAACAGTAAGACTCTCAGTTGAGCTTCATACAGTACTGTAGAATATAGAATTGAACAATATAAAAATGAAGATAGACTTTGAAGTCAAATTTGCTAATCTAGACAGAGATGTGATTACAAAAATAACAATAAAGCCATTTATGCACTCAAATAAAGTTACATGTAACTGTACTGTTCCTTTTTTGCCGTGTTAGTAACATGAAGAGGATATGTTTTGTTCTATAAAACATGTATGATGTTGCAAGGAAACATAAAATGAAAGAACTACAACACAATATTATGTATTTTGAGGGAAATCTGCCTTAGAGTCAGAAAAGGGTAGAACCTGGGTAGAACAGGGTAGAACCTGATCTCAGCAGCTCTGTGTTTCGGATGCAAGATAAATAAAGATTGAGGTGATGTTGCATCTCATTAGCTACTCACACCTCTCTTTCCACTTCTGCAAACCTGTAAGAAAAACATCTGACACAATTTTTCTCTGTGCATTTTCACCTCCTGTCCACGTCCTCTCTCTCTCTCTCTCTCTCTCTCTTTCTTTTGCCCCTCTTTCTTTCCCCCCCATTAGACCCCTTCATTCATCGGCTGGTCCCCTCTCCCTGAGGAGTCTACCCATCAGGCCCACTGGTGCAGGATCAGCAGATGCCAAGCAGCAAAGACACAGTTTGAATAAAAACAGAGTACAGACCTCCACCAACTTTCCCTTCTCCCCCTTCCAAGAAACCAGCGATGATCTGAAGAAGGTGTGAGCTACAGCCAAGGCAGTGTGTGTGTTCGGTGTTTTGCTGGTTGTATAACATTTACATTTACATTTATTCACTTGGCAGACGCTTTTATCCAAAACGACTTACAAATAAGTATAAATGGCTGAATTAAAAACTGAAAATACCCCCCCCCAAAAAAAATAAATAAATAAATAAATAAAAATAAATAAATACAAATCTACCGTTACTGCGTTTTACCAGCAAAGGATTGTTGCACAAGTCTCACAAAGAGCATAAGCTTTTTAATACCTTGAGATGCCACTTATCATACCGTTCATTAAAATAAGCAAACAAACAAACCCTATAACTCTGGAAGCATGTAGTGAACTTTACAGAATTGTTCATAACCCGCAAAAGTACTCCTCACCTTATCAGTTCTATTATAGAATTAGTGTTTTAATCTAAGAGGCAGGTCCAAAACATGTTGCATGTTTATTACCAGCTTTGCTACAGCTCATGGGTCTCCAGTATGATCTTGACTTTATTGTCTGTGGGAGTGTTGCATGTGCACCTCGCCTTGTGTCTGTGAGGGTTGCCTCTGGGTTCTCCAGTTTCATTCAACCTCCTAATACATTCCAGTAGGTGGACTGATTATTGCCTCTACACGTGAATGAGTGTGTGTGTGTGTGTGTGTGTGTGTGTGTTGTGTGTGTGTGTGTGTGCCCCTTTCAGGGTGTCCACTATTAGGCTCCGGAAGTTCTCAACCCTGACCTGGATAAATCAGTAACTGAAAAAATTAATATTATTGCAGGAATCAGTTTCTGTGTTTTGATTAGAATGCTTCATGGTCCGTGTCACTCACCAAGTCATATGCCTTATACTTGGAAACAAATCTCTATAAGCGTAAAGCTAGAATGGTCATAATTGTCTTTTGCATTGCACAATGAAAATGCCATTCTTGCTGTACAGGGACATTACCGCTTGATTAAATCACAGGGAATTGTCTCTATGCCTTAGTGTCACTGATTATGAATTATATAACTATAACAATATGTTGTGCATGTTATATAAACACATTCAGAAGAAGGCCAGCAGGCATCTTTACAGGGGGTTTGGATGGTCAATGCACAGAGGAAGACAGATGGACAGTTAAGGCAAGTTTACTGAGGACATACACTGAGCATAAAGACAATGCCTTTTACGGATTATGAAGAACATGGTAATGCATGATAATTGCTTATAAGGAAATTCCTGAAGCCTGTGAACATTTTGTTAGCATTTAGTTTGTATTTGTTTTTGAAAAGTAAATCCAGGGCTAGGCGTAATAGAAAATATGCTGAGTTAAAACAACAACAACAACAACAACAAAAACAACCTCTACATAGCTATCGTAAATATATCAGAGTTCAGTTTTTCCTGTTCCTGTCCCTACTCTTCAGACTTCCCTACATGCTGCACCCCTACATCAACCTCCACTTCCCTTTTCACTTTTCAGACAAGCAGCTGCTCTGCCTCTCTGACTGAATGGTGAGCCCCAGGAGAGAGTGAAGGGAGGAGAAGGGCGAGAGAACGGATGAGTGTGACTAGACACCAAAGGTCAGGGTTCGAGCCTGCGTGTGCCATGGTTCTTTGTATAAAATCATGGGAGGGCAAGCAAACATGCCTACTACTCATCCAGATACAGATAATATATAAAAGCACACACTGTATTTGCATACAAACATATAAATACTTTGCTTAAAATAGATAGAAAAATGTGATCCTCTATCACAAACACACATCAGTCAGAATTGAGAAACTAAACCAAGAAGCAAGAATCCTCTGTAACTGGGTACTCATTAAGGGTAATGTCAATATCTATTTATTGCTAGTGCACCCCTCCTTTCTTGTCCCTTTTCTTTTTCTTTTTTTTTTTCTTTTTACTTTATCTCTCCCTGCACTATTCTAACATTCTGGCAGTACATAGTGAGCCATTCACTGAAGCTCTTAGATAAACTATGAATTATAAAGAAAGATGAATAATGGATGGAGCACAATGTTTTTGTCCCAGAACTCTGCAAGTATGGCCAAAACTCGAAAGACAGATGGTTGCTGTGCACTGGCAAGAGATCTGCAGTAAAACAAATGTGCATCATTTTAAATAGAAATATCTGGCATTTTCATGATCAACAGTTTCATAAATTGCTTAGAATAGAGGTTGAAATATCAGCACCAACCTGAAAAAAAAAGAAAAGAAATAAACACAGTAGGTACAACCCCAATAAATGTTATTAAAAGAAAAGGTGATGTAACACAATGGTAAACAGTCGACTTTTTTGGAGTGTGTTGCAGTCATCAGATTTGAAAAGAGTGTATATTTTCAAGAATAAATAAAATTCACAAAGTAAAACATCAAATAACGTGTTTTCAATATAGTACAGGGTGATCTGAATTTTCAAATAACTATTTTTTCTTGCATTTTCCGTACTGTCTCATCTTTTTCGGAATTGGGTTGTATGTTTAAGTAATGTATAATTACTTCACTATGAAAATGTCACTTCAAAAACTTGAATAAGTGCTGAAACACTGAGACACCAGGGGTTTTAAACCTCATTTCTGTCTACTATATCATATGTGTGATTATCACCATGACAGAAAAAAAGCCTGCTCACACAAAACCATTTGTGAAATTCATCAATAATCATTTACTTAACTACATGAAATGAACAGAGACCCACAAAGGTTGCATTCTAGCAATAAACATTATTGGAATGGATATTATTAGGGGGCCATGATAAA